TAATCTTGATTTTCTATTTTAAATGCTTCCATATTAATATTTAGCATGAACAAATACCTTAGGTCGAGGTCCTATTTCTAGGCTATCCGAGTGAAATCTTTATGTCTAAAGTATTTATCTCCAAAGTTAAATCATTAAAGTTGCGCAAATGTATCAACCATTTCAGTATGGATGCTTGGTTAAAGCACTAATTGGCCAAATTACGTTTTAACTTTGTAAAACAACCTTAAGTGATAAAAGAAGAGAAAAACACCTTTTGTCTTGTTGGATTTTAAAAACTTTAGCTAACCATCCATAACCGGGCTTGGAAAAATAAATTTAGTTCATAACTTTAGAGGAAAAATAGAATTTAACATTGATGTAAATAAGAGGCATGATTAAAAGATGAATATAATTAAAACAAGCTGAAAATGTACGAGTTGTAACCCGAATGACCCTAACCCGTTCTCTTTCAAGATTGAGGAGTAGTACTCAATCAATTCCACAAGATTGTATGATTACAACTTCGTAGAGAGAGAGAAAGATGAATATCAAGAAACTTGCTGGAATTTTAATTGAATAAGACCAAACTTACAATTGAAAAATAAAAAGTTGGAAAATAAATGATCACTTGAGGATGATGATTGAAGTGAGGGGAGCTGGTGTATTTATAGGAACTTCAGGCAGTTAGGAGATTGAGACATTCATTGAGAGCCATCTCTTTAAAACACATTTTAGTTGGTTTGTTGTTCAATTAGCAATCATCAATGCATGGAAGACACGTGGAGGGGCTTGGGAAGCCTCAGAACACACAAAAACTTGCGTTTTACATTAAGGGCATTCTCGGGATTGGGGAAGGCGCCAAGCGCCAAGCTCGGTATTTTTCTGTACAAAATTGTAATTTCTGTTAGAAATCAAACTCTAAATGATGTAAAAACGTCCTATATGCATGTATAACCTAAGATAACTCCAAATGAAAGGTTTTGGACACTAAACCAAGCTTAAAACACGATTTTTTTAGTGTAAAATGGTAGAAAACAACACACTCCTTTTTACCCTTGTAATCCAGGGAAATCAGAAAAAGAAATTTCAGAGATAGTAAAATTTAGGGAGTTAGAGAAAAGTTAGAAAAATAAATTAGTGAGAGAAAAGTTAAAAATAAAAAATAGAAAATTTTAGAGAATAAAGTTGAGAGTAAAAGTAGAAAGAGGGAAAAAAAATTATAGTGAGAACAAAATTTGGACAAGAAAAAGTTTAAAATATATTTGTTAGATAAAATAAATAAATAAAAAGATAAAGATATAAGAGAAAGAAAATTGAATAAAAAACATTTAAATAGAGAAAAATTGAAGATATATATTTTTTAAAGAAAAAATAGACTAGAGATCAAAATAAAAGTTATAAAAGGTGAAATTTGAGAATAGAAATGTTTAGAAAAATATTAAATTTTTAGAGGGAGGAAAAAAGAAAATAATATGTTAGAACAAAAATAAAAAATTATAAATAAATATAAATGAAAATTTTGGAGAGTGAGAGAAATATTTAAGAGATGAAAATTTGAGAGAGAGAGATAAATTTTTGTAGAGAGAGAAATTTAGGTATAAAAATACTTTAGAGCGAGAAAAAAATTATTAGAGATAAATATGTTGAAGAAAAAAGTTGACCATTAGAAAAAAAAATGAGATTTTGAATTAAAAAACTTAGGACCCGTCAACCATTTCGTTTTTTGTTTTTGATTTTTTGCTTTTAGTTTTTAAAAAACATGACTATTTGATAACCCATCCAATTTTCTTTTTTTTTTTTAAAAAATCATTTTGAAATTCTAAGTAAATTAAAAAAAATAGTTTTCAAAAACATATTTATGTTTTTCAAAATTTGATTTTTTTTCTAATACTAAATTTTCTCATTTTTATCTCTAAAAAAAATTTTCTCACCCTAAAATTTTTTTCTTTCTAAATTTTTCTCCACAAAATTTATTTTTTTCTATCTAACATTTTCATATTTTGAATATTTATTATTATTTCTCTCTCCAATTTTTTTATATCTATATTTTTTATTTTTTCTGATAGTTCAGTTTCATTTCTCTCTCTAAAAATTTAATATTCTTCCTAACTTTTTCTTTCTAAAATTTCGTTTTTTATAATTTATCTTTCTTATCATAATCTATTTTTTAGTTTGAAAATTATATCTTATTTTCTCGTTTAATTTTCTTTCACTGTAACTTTTATTTATCTATGTATTTATATTATAAAAAGAAAAAAGAAAGAAAATCCGGCTGAAGACCATAGTTATATTATTATTTAATTTCTTGTGTGTTTTTTTTAAGAATGATTGAACCATTATTTAAAAAAAAAAGATTGAACCAATAACAACAGTTAGACAGCGAGGAGAGAGAAAATTAGAATAAGGAGACATACAAAAACATAAGCAAAAGCAAAAAGTTTTTTTATTTTCCTAGTTGGCCTTTTTGCTTTTGCTTAATAAAAAAATTAAGCAAAAGCAAAAAGACCCACTAAAAAAAAACAACAAAAAACAAACTTTTGGAGGAAATTTTTCTCCACTAAAATAAAGTTTTTTCTACTAGAAAAAAGATAACTTGCTTTTATTTCAAATTTTTGGGGGTTTTCTTGTCTTTATGAAAAAAACAAAACAGTAATTTCATAAATTAGGAACAAGATGAGAAGCAAACAACAAAGTCAAAAATTTTGAAAATGTTGTCCTAAGAAAGATGAATGGTACAGTCGTTGCAACAAAATAATTGTCACCACTAGATAACCATTTCATTTTTGTTTTTTCTTTCTAAAAATTACGTTTTGGAAATAGATTTCAATTCTTAGCGAAGTTTTAAAAGCAAAGATAAGTTTTTAAAAATTATTTATTTATCTTTTTTAAGTTTTCACAATTTGATTTAGATTTTATAAAGGATGTTGAAAGTAGAGAACAAAACAAAGAATAAGTATTTTTAAATCTAATTTTTAAAAACATAAAACAAAAAATGAAATAGATTATTAAACAGGTAAATATAATCAATAAGTTTGTTGACTATTAATAAATAAAAGACTTTGCATGTGTGTGGTATTGTCTTCTCCACTTCTAGATTATATTTTAAAAAGAATTGAAATTAAAGCACCACCAAGTAACCAAGATAACATTTCACTTAAAAAAAACAAACAAACACTATTTTAACAGTTTAGTTTTTTAACTTTAATTTATAATAATTTAATAGAGTTTTTTAACTAATAAAGAACTAAACGTATTTATACATTATAAAGACTAAAGAGAGGGTTTTTATAGTTGAGACTAAATTGTTACATACTAAACTTAATAGATTAAATTATTACCAATTTGGAAGTATAGACTAAATCGCTATAAATTAATTAAAGTTCATGGACTAAATTGTTACCAAAACTGTTTGTTAACAAAAAAAATAAAAATTAAAAAATAAACAAAAGAACCTTAACAATACATGAATTTACAAAAATACCCTTGTCCTACACATGCAATGAACATATTTGAACTAGGAACCAAAAGAATTTGCAATTTCCACAAAGAACTTTGAAAGTAAACTTAAAACCTATAGCAAAATACATTTTTTGTTTCTTACGGTTTGAAATAAGTGTCTACTCGATCTCTAAAATTTCAAAAATGACACTTTAGTCCCTTGAAGTTAGCTGTGATCAAGATGATGTGGCTACTAAATTGTTGAAATTGATTTGAAAAATTTTATCAATTTATATTTCTATGGTGAGTAGATTTTTCATCCTCTTAGTTTCTCCTTCCTCTCCTCTTCCAAGATAAGATGCAAAATTTCAAATAGATAAGACTTGGGGGCTATCGTTGTCTCCAAAATTTCATTCATGAATGGCAACCGAAAGTGATGCGTTATTATTCATTCATAAGAAAGGTGACCGAAAGTGATGGATTATTAATATATATGGGAGGATTATGGAAAAAAAGAACCGACATTTTCTTATGACATAGACATAGACTTTGCTTAGCCTGAACTACTTTTCAGAGTCGAAACTATTCCTACAAATCAACACAAATCCTTTCAATTTAACCCAACATAGAATTGCTTAAGGCCAAGCATGAAGATTATGGAAAAGAAATGTGTATATTACTCTTCATTCTTCTAAACTTGTCTTAACCATATTATTCTATATCCCCGGATTCTAATGCAAGATACATCAGGTTCATAAAATCCACTCAATAATACAATGTTACCCAAATGCTGGCACCAACCTTGAGGCATTATCGATCCATCGATTCGACTATATCATTTAAACAAGCTCAAGCTGCTAACTACCAACCTCTCAACTTGCTAATTACAATCAAGCCCTAGGAATGAAAATGAGAGAATCAAAAATAAAAATTAATTGAAAAAAAAAAACCAGAATGGGAATACAATTTCTAACCTAAAGGTCGGAAGGATGAAGCTTGTCACTGATATTATTTACTAATATTTGTAATATAACTAAATTTGAATTATCCAGAAAAAAGAGTAGAAATATAAATAAATAAAAGTAATGGGATCCATCCAAATCACAACGACATTTTTCTTTTCACCTATGTAAATAGGTTAAATACTACTTTTAACTTTGGTTCATTTTTTATTCCCATACTTCTAACTTTTGTTAATTTTAATCATTCTACTTTTAAAATATTTATTTTAGTCCATGTAATTTTTAAAAGTGACCAATTTCCAATTAAAATGTGAGATCAACAGATTGACAATCCTACATCAATGAAAAGTTTATTTCTTGTTAAAAAAAAAAAATGACAATCGTGCTCGATTATTTGATAAAGTTAGTAATAAGAGAAATGTAAATAAGGGAAAATGGTTACTATTCTCTCATCCTCATTTTTCTTCCAATAAACATGGTCTCAACCTAATCATAACCTTGGCAAGAACATTGCCTTGAGATTGACAAATAGCAATCAGTTTAAACACATCTTGAAGTTGCAGGTTCATTATAAGGACTCGAGAAGAAATGTCACAATACCATAAAACCTTGGCAAAATAAAGAGAATTTGGAAACAGAGCAGAAGTGAAAATTCATCATTCTTTAACCAAAGAGAATAGTCTTTATATACAATATTATCCCTCTAACAATGCTTACAGCTAAATCATATTAGATTCCACAAACTAACAAACTTTAACAGAGAATTGAATACAATGAAACAACATGGGAGCCGTGATTTGATGATACAGATGACTTATAACACGTGGATGAATAGGAATATATTTAAAAATATCCAAACAATTCACTAACTTTCTTCAGATGCAATTACTTTCTTATACATAAAATTGATACAGTGAATGAGATGGACAGAACTCACGAGTTTGATGCGTCGCCAGAAGGACCAGGTCGGGCATTTAACAGATGCTGAAGGGCTTTGACAACAATGCTCATGTTTGGCCGGAAATCTGCCTCGTACTGCACACACAAGGCGGCAACAGCGGCCAACTGCAATAAAGTAGCATCGGGTATTAGGTTCTTGTTACAGCTTATTAAATACGGCAATACATATATCAACGTCAAATGGTTTAAAATGTGTCCTTGGACAACCTCCTCCCCCCACCCCTCCTAAAGATACCCAGAATTCCTTCATTCTGTTTTCCTGGTCTTCACTTTCTCGAAGAAAATCCGTCATCAGTATGAGACCCGGAAAAAGAATGATAACATTGTAGCTATATACAGTAGTTCATGAGGAAAGATTTCAATGTAGTGTCAGTAGTTAGGATTCAAAAATATTTACGAAAGATAGATTTATTAGAGGTTTCCTTGCAGAAAGATTTTAATTTACTTTTTGCAGAAGATCAAGATACTTTAAGCTCTTGTGGGAAAATAGACGTCTTGCTCTTTCCTTCTCGGAGCAGCCTTTGGTTGTCAAAAAGGCTTCTTGCACTGGTAATCAAAACTTTTTAACATATTTTGAAAATGTTGGCATTACCCTAGTTCCAATCACTGAATATGTAGGCTTTAATTAAGGGCAACAGGGGTTGAGATCTTTTAGTTTTCTTGTCTTGTCTTTTCTAGATGGGAGAGGTTTTAGATTTATTACTTTTTCCTTCTGGCAGTCAAGACCTTTACTTTTATTTATCCTGGAATATTTAGCTCCTCAATTTTGTGTTAAGCGGTTGTTTCGGTATCCTCCCTCAGCAGGCAGTCTTTTTGGATTGGCAAGCTTTATTGAAGAAAGTTTTTTTCCAGCCTTCGTTCTTTTAGCTTTCTGATATTTCTTTGGCTTTAGATCTCTGTCTATAACCTTGTATTTTGGTTCCGTCGTTTGGTTGTTTTTCTTCTTTTTTCTGTTCCCTTTGGGAGCTTTTATACTTGAACTTTTTCTTCCTTTTCATATTATCAATGAAAGTTTGTTTCTTGTTAAAAAAAATATATTGTAGTTTATGAGAGGATGTGCATGACGTTAACATATGGTTTATAGATAATTTAGCTTCTTACAAGAAGCTTTTGAACAAATTCTAAATGCATCTTATGTCCTCTACCCCAGCCCTTTGCTTGTAATTCCCTTTTGTCATATATGAAAGTCTGTTATCCAAAAAAAAAAAATCTTATGCATACGGACCTCCCGCAAGATCAGAGACCCCAATGCTCAACCTCTACTAAATTAATTAAAAAAAATGGAGATTTGCTTGGTATTATTCAAATTACCTTTGCTACTGCCTTTGGGGGGTACTCTCCACCAAGCCTTCCATCGACACATTGCCTAACTTTATCTTCACTCAGTTTTGGTGTAGCCTAATACATTAAGATAAATCTGTAAGTTAGCTTGCATGCGCATGCAGGGCAGATAAGAAAAAAAAACAATTCAATATCAAAGAGGCCAAGAGAGAAGAAAAAGTGAAAGCCAAGGTGGAGAAGGACAAAAGAAAATCACCCAAGTAACGAGACTTTGTTGTCCTCGTGGCAGCGTAGGATCTACAGGTTTTCTCCCTGTCAAAAGTTCAAGCAAGACTACGCCGAAGCTGTATACGTCGCTCTTGGCATTCAATTGACCAGTCATGGCATATCTGCCAAGTATAAGAACAAAATAAACAACTGTTGGGGTTCTAGAAGCATGCAATTCCAGCCCAGGTGAACAAAACGATCATGTAATAATCCATAAGACGCCTTCTTTTTATCTGACTAATATTAGTTTGAGTTTACCAATTCTCTTTCAGATGTGCCAGCTGGAAGTACTAAAGGTGAATATTAAACGCACTGGAACAATGGATTAGTAGCTCAACGGTGAAGTTCAGGCAATTTCAAGTTTCTTAGTTCACTTAAAGTGAGATTATGTTACAAGAAAAAGGGTTGGAGATGAAATATATTTCTTGAATATTAATAGGAAAGTAGGCACAAGTGTATTTTAAGTCAAAATCCCATGAAGCCAAAAAGTAGAATTCATAGCAGAAAAGGTTATAGTAGTAAAAGCCATTTGAGTTTTAGTTTCTCAATTGGTTAGAGTTAGACAGCTTACTCAGGAGCATGATAGCCAAAAGTTCCAAGGACACGTGTAGAATGAAGGCGAGCAGCCATATCAGGAGCTTGATTGGACAGATCAAAGTCAGCAATTTTAGCAACATCATCATCAAAGATTAGCACATTGCTGGACTTAATATCGCGATGAATAATGTGGGAATCAGACTTTTCATGCAAATACTCAAGTCCTCTAGCAGCCCCTACAGCAATTTTCACACGTTGCGCCCATGATAGCACGGGACCAGGCTGCGCTCCTTTCACTCCTTTTCTTCCTGTGTAAAAAGTGCAGGATAATACACAAGAAAGATTAATAACTTGAAAAACAGTGAAAGGCATATACTGGCAGTAGATGTCTCTGATACACATGTACGGTAATTGAAATTTAAACTTAGAAAACATATAAACTTATAAAGCATTTGACCAGTAAAGTTTTGGCATGATAATACATACCATGAAGAATATCATGAAGTGATCCATTAGATGCGAACTCATAAGCTAGTATACGGGAATTCCCATCAATGCAATAACCAAGCAATTGAACAAAATTTTCATGCTTCAGCCTTGAGACCATGGAAACCTGTGCTAAAAACTCGTCATCAGGCTGTTTGCTGGTATCTAACTTCTTGATTGCAGCAGGCTGCCCGCTTTTAAGTACACCATAGTATACTCTCCCGTACGACCCCTCTCCAATCAAAGCTTCATTTCCAAAATTGTCTGTTACTTCCGATAGTTCATCCACAGGGATGGTAGGTACTAATATTGGTTGCATTTTCACTGCTCGAGTGACTGCTGGTGCAGCTTCAGATTTCTGATAACCTCCATTATTTCCTGTAAGAGAAGTTTCAATACAAAAAAAAAATTACGAAATTGATGAAGATATGGCATCACAAACGCTTCCTTTTAATAGTTACTAGAAATGTTTCTAACTCCTCTGATGGCGCTAAGAGAGTACCTGTTGTATTTTTTGCTGCATAGATGCCTCCATTCTCAGCTGCTTTCTGAATTTCATCTTCCTCACAGCAGCTAAAGCAGCTCATCTTTTCCTACCAATTGATGCCCTAAATGACCAAAGGGAACATTCAGCCATCTCTAACTGGAGAAGAATATTTTTCAATAATACTATATAGAAAAAAAAGGGATAGCAACTTCTTGTGTAGGCTGGCCAACCGCTCCATCATACTTCTACTTCACCATGAAAACTAAGAAGTAAATAGAAAATTAAAACCAAATTCAAGAACTTCTTAGACCAAGGAGAACATCCAAATAAAATCAAATTCCCAAAAAGGCACCAAAATTCTCAACACCAGCTTTCCGAAACTTTAACACGTATCAACAAAATTTCCTCGCCCAAACTCAGAGTCACGAAAAGTTAAGAATCTCAACATGCATCAAAACCTCACTTTGGATCTACAAAATCACTTCAATATTAACTCCATAAATGATAAAAACAGAAAAAATTCGCGTGGCATCCACTCGGATCAGTTCAACCGTAAAATTTCCAGATCAAACAACTATTAGCCGATAAACCAACAAATTAAAAAAAACGCCAAAAAACAACAAGTCAATCAACTAATATTCAACCAAATCAACATCATCGCTTCCAATTTTCGGAAACCTAGCCATTCAAAGTACAACGAAAACCACTTGAAAACAGTAAAGAGATCGGTCTGTACCAGAAAAACAGAGTAATCCGACGAACTTTAAGAGGTGAACAGTTCGATCGCAGCAAGTTAGAGAGTATCTGCGTATCGTCGTTCTGGTGGTTCGTGATCTGAGCTCCGGAGCCGGCGAAGATTGCGCTTCGGGTTCTGTTCTGCAAATATATATCTATCATTTTTCTTTTTTTTCTTCTTTCTCTCAGCGGGACTTTCATCGCTTTTTCTCTTTTTTTTTTTTGTTTTTTTCGCCGTTTCCTTTTTTAACGGTTGAAAAGTTAAAAATACCCTGTGAAACGGAAGCGGCTATGATTGTTTATCTATTTTCGTGAAAAGATACGACATTCTTTGTAAATACTTTATATATACACATAAATATGCGCATTAAATTACTTAAATAAATATATATAAAATTTAGTGTGGACGTAGTTGAATTGATTAAGGCACTCCTACCAGGGACTTTAAAATTTGTATCTGATCTGTGTTTAGCAGGACCGTATTTTTAATATAATTAATGAGTTTAAGGTAAACTTTGTTTTTTTGGAAAAAAATTATATTTGGTTAATGAGAGCCCTCCATTGTTTAACCAAAATCCTGATTTGGTGTTTGGAAGAAGACTACAAAATGGTTAAAGTGATAACCATTTATGGAGGGAAAATGTGATCTACTACTTAGAAAATATAACTCTCATTACCTTGCATGTCAACTGTCCAAAAGAGTTCGTGGACACATGTGACAATTATATTTGATGTCGACGAGACATGATCGGTTGAAGTGGTGCTAATTAGGTTATTCATTGAGCGTAGTTAATCTAATAGAAGTTGTTATACGACGTGTCAACTATCTAAAAGAATCCGTGGACACATGTGACGATTATATTTGATGTCGTCGAGACATGATCGGTCGAAGGGGTGCTAATTGGGTTATTCATTGAGAGTAATTAATCCAATGGAAGTCGTTATACGACGAAGGGATGTGTCTATTCACATAAGGGTGGACCTATATCGTATATATAAAGCATCACTATTGGATGGTAGAGATGTGTTTGTACAAACAGACACATTCATTCATAAAAATACACCTCTTGAATTGTAGAGATGCGTTTAAGCGAACAAACCCATATATTAACAAAATGACACTTCTATGCCTATATAAATAGGCATTCTCACACTTATTTGTGAACTAAAAAGCATTCCTCTACAAAAGCTTATCTCCCTCCTTTTGGGATTGATGGAGTCAAAACAACGTCGGAACGAGCTAGGGAAGAGTAGGGATCAAGCCGGGACGCATCGGGATCGAAGCAGGAATGAAACCAGGGGGAAGCAGAAGCTGCGCAGGCCACACGGGCCGAGGAGGCAGCGCCACGACACTGCAGCGTCACGGTGCTAGGGGACAGCGTCGCAGCGCTGTCCTGGTGGGTGCATGGGCGTGGGTTTGCGTCCGTAGCGCCATGGTGTCAAGGACAGCGCCATGGCGCTATTTCGATGTTTATAAAAGTGTAGTTTCGGGTTTAGGATTTTGTAGCTGAAAAAGGGTTATTGTCCATCTAATTTTGAGTCGTTTTTCAGAGGGTTTCGTGGCAATTCCAAGGGAGAGGCTCGGGCATTGGCAGAGGCATTGAGGCTCATCAAGATCAACATAAGTATTAATTGTGTAAAATACTTAGAATCTAGGGGGCTTTAGTTGAGACCTCTATGAGATATTTTGGGGAGTGTTATTGTATCCAATCCTTAACAATATTCGTGAATTACCCACATCTGAGTGGAAGACTGAACGTAGCTTTTAGTGGTGAACCAGTATAATTTGCACTGTTGTTTACCTGTGCTTTTCTGTTTTTCTTCCTATTTGCATATTCTTGGTTGTGTTAGAAGGAAAAATTATACAAGACCGTTAATTTCCCAACACCTATCTTGCTTTGCTATATATCAAGTTTTCTCCGTCTAAAAGAGACTCATTCACATGTAGTTCACGTAGTGTTTTGTCTTCGAGGTTAATATAGTGTTGTACTAAATTTCGATGAAATGTTGTACCTTGGGAGATTATCAATTGTTACACCGAAGCACATATGCAATAGATGAAATAGTGTCTTCAAGAATTTTTCTTCGTGCATATGCCTCACTTCTAAAATTTCTTCTCTTGTATCATGTCTTTAGTATTATGTAATATATGAGCGTTCATTTATGCTTTTTATTCGTTTCTATTTTCTTTTTGTCGTGTATGTTATATATATATATATATATATATATTATGCAATGCAACATTCTAGAGAAACGTGCATCCAAAATTCTCTGGAGTAATCACTATGCAATGCAATATCCGTATTCTTAATAATAAATCCTTAAATTTTAAATTTTAAAAAGTGTGTAGTAGTTTAGAACTTTTAATTTTCGTATTTAAAATTTTTTTTAACAAATTATTGAACTTTCAAAACTATGTCTATTTAATTCTTGAACTCTTAATTTTGTTTTACGTGTTTATTGTTGTTCACCATGTTAGTTCACCGTGTGTTTAGTGGTTTAAACACGAACTTGACAAAGTTAATGATGAGATTTTATCAAATTAAAAGTTCAATGCTTTATTATAAACGTTTTTTTTTCTTTCCAAGTAAAAGATTTTTGTTTCGTCTTCGCCCTCCCGTGCACCCGCCTAAGAACGAACAAACGGGGGTGGAATTCAAAACTTATAGTGTTGTTAAAATTAGTATTAAAACCTTAAACCCAGTTGAGTTATATTGAACAATAAATTTTTTTTAGTCAATGTCACTACTCGTTAATAGAGAGCAAATATTATGACACGCATATATTATTTCAAGTTTAACAATGACAAGGATAATGTTGAATCACATCATTGATCTTAGGGACAGTAACATGTGTCTTATTTATTTTTATTTGTTTTTTTAAGTTCAACATAGGAGTGAGAATTCGAACCTTCAACGTTTTAGTCGATAATATTAGGGGTGTTCAAGGAATCCGACAACTCGACGAACCCGACCCAATCCATAAGGGTTGGGTCGGGTCTCGAGTTGACCCTTGAAAATCCCGGGTCAACCCGACCCAACCCGAGATTATAAGGTTTTTTTTTAATCCATTTCATTAAATCTAAACCATTGATTTATGTTTCAATTCAATCATCTCCCTTTTGAATCTTTGATTCTTTTCTAACATTTTCAATTTCATCTTCCTCTCCCCAATCTCTCGGTGTAAGCATTTAATATTGTTGAATTAGGACTTACATATTGATTTCAATTTGAATTAGGACTTTACATAAACTTTGGATAATGTAAAATTTTAAAATTTGTATTAAATTAGGACTTACATGTTGGTTTCAGTTAGGATTTGAATTTTGTGCTTAAATTAAGATTTTGATTTTTCTATATATTTTTTTGTCCATGTTATAAACAAAACAAAAGTAAATTAATTAATCAATTAAAAAAAAAACCCGACAACCCAACCCGAATTTATTGGGTTGGGTTGGGATGACCATCGTTTTACAACCCGACGGTTCCCACAAATTCCCAACCCGAAAATTCGGGTTGGTCCCAAAACTACCTCCAACTCGACCCAACCCAACCCGTGAACACCTCTAAATAATATATGTTTTGACCAGTTAAACTATGCTTAACTTATCTTACCTACTTAAACTATGTTTGAATTGACTTAGGAGGTGCAAGCATTTGGCAAGGTGAGTTATTTTCCAATGTCGAGGGAACATAGTGGTATTGGGGAAATTAGAACATTTTGAATTTTAATTAAGATGATATTCATATATAGCCAATATTGATGATACTATTTAACCAACCCCAGATTGACTCGATTTGGTCAATTCAAAAGTCATGTTTAAAAATTGATATCTATTTTCAAAAATAAAAAACAAAATTTTCATGAATACAACGTATTTGGTTTTATAATTTCTAAAAACAATTTTTTAAAATCCAAAAGAAAAAACAAACACACACACAACAGAAAATGAAAAGAAAATAAAAACTGTATTTTTTCTTTGTTTTGTATTTTCGTGAAATTTATTACTAGATGTATGTATAGATATAGTTCTTGATTTTTTGAAGTACTCCCCAATTGTTATACTAAAAAACAATAATAAAATTCATTTGAAGTACAACTTGAGATTTTTATATCAATATGAAAAAATAAAAACACTCTTTAAGATGATTTTTAAAATAAATTAAGTTTTGTAACGTTTCTATTTCTTATTTTTCGTTTCTAATTTAATTAAGAAATTCAGACATATTGCGTGTTTCTTATTTCTCATTTTTTAGAAACATTCTCAAAATTATTCCTATAAATATAAATATTGTTTGATTTTGAATTCATGGAGGTTGAGACCATGCAATTCTATTTTTCTTGAGAAGGAGGAAACAAGAAACGAGAACGTTACAAGTTATTTCAAAAATTTCTACACAGTTTTAGAAATTTTGCTTAAAATTGAGAAGAGAAATAGTAACAGTTGTCAAATGCTTGTGTCGTTTCTCAAAAAATTGAAACGAGAACATGAAATGAAAACATTATCGAACGGGTCCTAAAACATTTGACTTTGTAACAATCAATTATTGAAGGATTAGATAGTCTCTGTGTGACATTAACCAATATGTGTATGTGAGCTTGTTTGAAAATTAAAAAACAAGTCTATTCATCTACTCCGCGTGAGATTGAATCCTCAAACTTTAAAAAATGCGTGTTTTCTAAATACTAAACTAACAATCAACCATATTGTTGTAATATCAATTTACCAAGACAGGGCTTAAGAATTATTTTAATAGACTAGTGAAATTTAAAAAATTAGAAAAAAATTATAGACATTATAATTTTTTATTTAAAAAAAATATTTTTTATTAGAAAGGTCGAAAATGTTTAATTAGTCATAAATAGATAACAATTTATTTATTTACTTTTGGGTCGCCGGAATTGACTTTAACGGCACGCGCCTTCGTGGTTTTTCTTCTTAGCGCGTCGGAATGGTCCAAAGGGGCGTGAATAAAAAAAAAAGCAAAAGTTAAAAAATAAAGTGTAATTACGTGTCGGAAGCTGATTGGATGTGAGATTCGTGAAATTTCAGCTGCCAGTGATGTTGACTTGGTCATCTATACCAAACTCAAGAATTATCTTTTCCGCTAGCCTTTTATTAAACCATTTATTTTCCTAATTTTCTCCATCCACCTTGGGTCATGGATGTTGAAAATTGAAATGGTT